AAAAGAGTGCTCAGAAGCTGGTGGAATTGCTCGCAGCATTTAGAATCCAAGTGGGAGTTTCTTATTCATCCTATTTTTGTAGCGATCGGGTTATCCCTAAGAACACAACATATAGCATTCTTTCGGGAACTTCCCGTTACATCCACCCCCAGCTTTCTTTGTGAAACCGGGTCTAACATTATACTCAGCTAAATGATCGGGTTATCCTTAAGAATATCACTTACGATATTCTTCCAGGAACTTCCCGTTAAAATTAGGAAACAGTTTAGACTCGTATACCTGTTTGAGTATTGAGAAGCAGTTTATACTCGTATATTCTTCGGAGTGTCGGAAGGAGCAGTTTATACTCTTATACTTATCGGAGTCTTCATTCGGCTTAATTTAGCGTTATGACGCTAGCTTCAACCAGGGTTTGGATGCTATTCTTGAAAGCGAAGCAAGCCTTGGTGGGATGAATGATCCTCATGTGGTACGCACAGTACTTTGGATCCGTAGTATTATCAGTTTCCTCCTGATTTGCGATAAGTGGTAGCTTGATCTTGTTGTTCTCAGGGAGGGATTCGAAAATAGCTGGAACGTCTTCGTTCTTGACGGAGTATTCTTTTTGGAGTCTCAGACTTGAAGTCTTTTGCTATCTTCGGGATTACTGTTGTGACGTCAGATTAGCATCAACAGCAGCTACAGGGGCCTTCCCTTTACCACGGGAGACGAAGCTTGAATTTGGAGGGTTAGCCGTCAGTTAGCTTCTCTCGGCTTTCTTCCTTCTGAGGAAGGCATGCTCTCAGCGTACTTTCAACTCTTTTCAGGTATTGGACGACGCTACTCCCATAACTTTCAACACGTCCAAAGAGGTTGTTATGGCATGTTTGGAGGATGAAGTCCTCTGTGATCAGATCTCGACAGTTCATCGTCTTATTTCGGAAGCGCTTGACGAAGTCGTCGACCGTCTCGTCGTCTTCCTATTTCTCATCGAAGAGTGTCCTGATTGACACCTCGGCATCATCATCAAAGAAGTGAATGAGGAATAGGTTCTCCAGGTCATCCCAGCTGTTGATGCTTCCAGGCATGAGACGGTGGTACCAATCAAAGGCGGGCCCGCGAAGGATGCCAACGAATGACTGAACCATCAATGCTTCATTGTCGGAGATCACACCCAAGTAGGACTTGAAGTAGATCAGATGTTGAGTGGGCGAGCCCTTCCCATCGAATGGTGTGAAGTTGATCAGGTTGAACTTCGTCGGGTATGGGATCGACTCCCACTCTCTCGGGTAGGGACACAGAATGTCGTTCTTCTTCACCTCTCGGGCAGACATCAGAGCGTTGATTTTGCTCTCTAGGTCTTTCATCTTTTCATCCGCGTTCATATCCTTCCTTGGTCGATTTTGAGGAGGAACAATAGGGCCACCCCCAGTGTTGTCATCATTGGGGGGACCATCCCCGACGTTGTTATTCTCAGTGGGGACACCCTAGTGTTTTGGTCAATGGGAGGGTCATCAGCATTGATGTATTCATCCATGTCTGAATCGCTAGTTGCTTGGCTAACATTATTGCGACGGCTGGATTCACCAAGTTGATTGGACAGAGCCCAAATCTGTTGGTCATGCTCTTCCTTCGTCTGCTGCATAGTCATTTCTATTTTAATTTTGAATGCTTATTTCTGCTTGGCTAGAGCATCCTTAACCATTTTGGCTACTTCCTCGGTGTTAATCATAAACACCTCGTGGGATTGTCCTGGATTGGATACCGTTTTGTCAGAAGCGACTATAGAATTGGCATCTGATGCTTCGTCATCCGAGGATAATCTCCTCTGCATTCTTTAATAATCCTTACGTCTAGTAATCCCTGCGCGTAGTGGAGTTAGATAATGCGATACGAGGGGGTCAGAACTAGAAGGTCGAGCCGACGTTCCTTTATCAGCCATGTTAATTATGACTTCTGGAAGTTCGTCACCTTGAACGGCCGATCGTTTCTTACGAAAATGCTTTGGCTTGGACTTAGTCGTTCCGTTAAAGATCCTCTCAAATACCGAGACCCTCTGCGGAGCGGTCTTAGGGAAGCTACATGCTGATAACACCGTCCTGATTATCTTGGTATGCGGACAATGAAAGTCTATCTCTCGGGAATCTCTCTTTCGAGGTCTATTCGTACCCCCAGCCCGATAGTACAACTCATCAGCATGATGACCGGAGAAATCTATCGTATGTTAGCACGAATTCTCAGGTATAACGTCATCGTCTGATGAACATGTTTCCTTCTGAGGGTTCATCGCCTTGTTGGCACTCTCAAGAGTCGCACGTTTTGAGCTATGCCTTCATGAGCGTAGGATCTCAACGGACTCTTGAACTTTGACACGTAGTCCGAGGCGGTCAGTTATAGGAGTTTTCTCTTTATGAGAAGGCTCAGACTTGTTGTAAGGGTCAGTACGACCTCCAGCTCGATGAGTTGCTCGGGGTTCATTCACCATGCCCAGGAGTTCTTTGACCAGAAATCTGTCTCGATCTTCATATAGAGGACCCAGACGATCCTTCAATGGAATTCTGGATTTGGAGAGATCCACGTTGTTGTAGGGCTTCACTGGAGGTGCGGGAGTAATAGGAGCGTGATCTAAAATTGGCAAAGGCTGGGGAGCAGCCTCGGATCTGGAATCAAGCGAGAGACACGACTGGTGTCTCTTGTCGGGTAGAGGCGCTGTTTTGGCCTTCAACACCTAAACCTGCTTAGATTTTGGTGGTTTCTTGACCACATCTTTCTGCTGCAATTTTTGTGCTTCTTGTGCGAGAATCCGTACATGCGTAAGTAGTGCGCGACGTTTCTGGATACGCTCCTCGAGGGTAAAACGGGTTCGTTTGACACAAACTCATTTGTTAGTTGACGGTTTGGAGGAGGACTCTGATACTTGTTGTGGTGACGGCTTAGCCACTTGGCGCTTTCTGAACTCTAGATCCGCTTGGTAGCGTAGTCTGTCCACTTGCTCTTTAGCCTTAGCGAACTGACGAGCAAGACGTTGACAACGCCTTTGACGAGCCCTCTTCGACAAATTTGGCACGCCTTCAACAGTCAACTCCTTAATGGAGGCGGTGTCCGGATCTGTGGCTTTGGCTTCATCAAACACCGTCGGGTCATCGCGAGGTGCAACTGCAGCAGCGACGGCGGAGAGATCATCTTCTTAGGTCTTCATATCTGAAGACCAGCGGATTTTCCTGGAGGAGGAGGTCTTTCTGCGCTTGCGAGGAGAGGTGAATCTGGAGGAGGAGGAGGAGGAGATGTACTCCTCAAACTTCTGCTGGTCGAATTCGTATTCGATCTCTTCATTCACCGGGATCTTGATCGTTGGCTACAGCACGACAGCCTTGGTAGTTAGAGTGTTGGCTCCCACTGTGGTCTCCAGCTCGTTTGGGGAGAAAGTTGATGTCTTCCTTGATGTATTTATTACAACTTCAGTCGTTACAATAAAAACAAAAAAAGATAGTCTTTTTATAAGACTCTTACACAATGAAAATAATAAAAAAATACAACTCTCGTCAAAACAAACGCAACGGACATTTATCCTCCGCTGCTTGCGTAGGATCTTGGCCTGTGACGGGGATGTTGATATCCGTAGACTACCAAACGATCAGTTCAGATCCGGAGTTCGCCAACGCTCGAGAATTCCAGATCTTAAAAAATGAAGGTCCTGGGGCTATATTTATAGGCTTCAGGAGCTCTGTTTTCAGATAAGAATGGTTGATTCACTCTTATCCTCAGTTATAATCACTTAACCACGTTCTTAGATGATATCTTATCAGTTGGAACAAATCCAGACGGTTAACGGTCGAAAAACGGCTCAAAACAGGCAAAAACATATTTCAAGGACTGCGGACACCCGTGGGTGTCTCGGCCATGCTTTGGCCGAGACACCATTTGGTGTCTTGGCCAAGCATCGGCCGAGACACCACTTGTGTCTTGGCCAAACTTTGGCCTGAACTTGGTTTTACGTGTTCCGTCCGTTTCCGTCGTATCTTCATCGTCCGAACTCATAATTATGTGGTTCAAGATGCGTCGGAAAGCTAACGAGGAGATCCATAAGCTTCCATGGTTGAATCACATGTGAAGTAGACGGGACACAAGGGGTGCTTCGTCTTTCGTAAGTGACGCGGAGCTTCCGGTCCATTCGTGTTTCCGTTATTCCGAAGTTCCGTTGCTTCGCATGGTTCGTCAACTCACTTCATGTGCTTGTCGTCGTCAAATGAGTTTCTGTGACTCGGATAGCGATGTTCATCATCTTCTCTTTGTCTCGAGCCACGTGCGGGGACCTATAGACAATTTTTGACGCCTACAATTAGCATTTTCTTTCTTTCTTTATTTTTTTTTGGCTATTTAAAAGATACAATGTCACCAATCGGCTCTGGTACCAATTATTGAGCATTGGTTGGTGCCGAGAACCTACTCCCTCTAACTAGGACATACAATCTACTCCGCAAGAGGGAAACACGAGAAAATCAAATTCGAACGGATAGAAAACACAAGGATCAGCAGAAAAGTAACCTTTGTTAACTAACATGCACGCATGCTACAGGTATAGAAAGCAATATATTCCTTTAACATCCATACTCCGGGTCCATCCCTTAGGCCTCAATGACATCAACTTAGTATTCCTGGAGTTCAAGGGCTTCGCAGGTCAATAGGGGAGGGTGATATGGAGTTTCCTATTTTGGAGAAAATATAAAGATGTAATACATTATCTATTATAACTAAACTATATATCACCGGATTACAGAAAATTGCTTCCAATTTAGTATGAAATTTCGCATAGTCATGCTGTACAAAAGCTATCTAAGGCTTTTCCTTTAAAGTACCTTTGATTTTTTTCCTTTAAGTACCTTTGATAACAAATATGTAATCAAGATTATTAATCATACCCTATTATTCGATCACTATATATTGCCAAAAATAATAATATCACAAGAGTATTTATTTGTAGAATTTACTCTGAATGAATCTCTTGTACTCCTAAATTTCAGCTAGGTATGGCAAGTGCTCTGGAAACACTTTGTGGTCAAGCGTATGGAGCAAAACAACATCATATGCTAGGAATTTACCTGCAGAGGTCATGGATAGTCTTGATAATTTGCACCATCCTTCTCCTCCCTCTCTTCATCTTCACAGCTCCAATCCTTCGTCTTCTCGGCCAAGAACAATCAATTGCATCAATGGCAGGAACCTTCTCATTGTGGTTCATCCCCGTTATCTTTTCCCTTGTCTTCTCCTTCACCTTTCAGATGTATCTCCAATCCCAGAGCAAGAACCGAATCATTTCGTATTTAGCTGCACTATCGCTCATTCTCCACATTTCTTTGTCTTGGATAACTGTAACAAAGCTGCATATGGGAGTTTCTGGGGCAATGGGCTCAATGGTATTGGCAATGTGGATACCAACATTTGGTCAGTTTGCGTTTTTATTGTGTGGGGGATGCCCGGATACTTGGACGGGGTTTTCGTGGATTGCTTTCAAAGATTTATGGCCTGTTATTAGGCTCTCATTGTCATCAGGTGCAATGGTTTGGTAAGGGATCTTTCATTTTCTTCTTGCTTTTAGCCATGTTTTTTCTCTGAGAATTTTGCATTAAGATCTCCTTGAGACTTTTTTTTCCCTTCATGTTCTACAGTTTGGAAGTATGGTACAACACTATATTGGTTTTGCTAACAGGGCATATGCAAAATGCTGAGACGGAGATTGATGCTCTCTCTATCTGGTAGATGGAACTTTTTGTTATTTTATCATTCTTGTCTAATTTACAGTTTCTCCAGTAATATTTTTGATGCACTGATGTTTTGCTTATTGCACAGCCTCAACATCAATGGATGGGAAATGATGATATCTCTTGGTTTCTTGGCAGCAGCAGGGTATTATGATCTTTTGAT